TGGTGACATATCAGGATATACTTAGTAGCCGCACTGTAGAAGGTTAAGGGAAAGATTTGTGAGCCAGTACAGAGCATTTGCTCTAAAACTGTCAGAGAAAAGAGGAGATGTGTGTGGATAGGTAGTGAGTTCTGTCCAGACTTGAAAGCATAGGGCATGCAGCCAGTATAGACCACAAATAGGAAAATACATTCAAAGGGATAAATTAAGTATTGGAGGAGGTATGTGATGGGTAAGGGAAAGGATGTGAGTGATGATTCAAGAAATAAGATGAGCTGTATCTGTGGCTTCAATTTTGATAAATAAATAGAAATAACAAGAACTTTACTCAGTATTAATATTATAATTATTATAATTATATTAATTATATTAATATAATTAATATTATAATTAGGGTAGATTTGTACTTGAGACATAGATCTTTTTAAACAACATGACATGTTTAAATTAATTCTTCTAAATAGACGTGTTGTGTCTTTGATTTCTCTTTAATATTCAAAGAGTTTTTATATAATGTAAAACGTTCTATGATTTTTACTCTGTTGTTTCAGTTATATAATCTACCTTGAAAGGTGTGAGATTTTGAGCCCCAGAGTATAGTGTCACTTTGCTCTTGCTATATTTTTCTTTTTATCATCAATGAATTTGATTTAATTTATTAGCTCTATTGTCCATTTAAAAAAAAACCTTAAAAGCTTCTGTCCCCAAATGGAGGTTCTTGAGTAGAACAAAAGTTTCTTTATAATACTGGAAATCACCAAATCCAGAATTCATTGTCAGATTATACCTAAAATAGGAGGCCTTTGCAACCACAAAACCACAGTTTTAGACCTAGCAGAGATTTTTGGTATTGTTGCTTCAGGTACCTCCTTCTTAGATGAGGAAGAAAACTTGTTACAAACATAAAATTAGGGCCAGGGATTTAGCTCAGCAGCATAAGCACCTGCCTGGCAAGTGCGAGGTCATGAGTTTGATCATCCATACCCACCCCCTCAAAAAAAAAAAAGAAAGAAAGAAAAAAAGGAACATTAGCTGCATTGCGAAAAAAATCATAAATTTACAACTAGAGATATTAAAATGAGTATCAATCTGTGAACCAAAATGCAGGGTTTTTGTTTTTATTTTAAAGGGGGTAAAAATTAAACACAACAAAACAGAACAAAATAGGACATAAGAAAGCAATGTAAGAGATATAAATTTCAAAGCTAAATGACCTGAGATCTTCACTGTCTATCATATTGTCTGTTTTCTTCCAAGTAGTTATCCATGTCTTCGCATACAGAGAATTCATACAAAAACAACATAGTATAAAATTGATCCAAACAGAATGAGGAAGGTGTTTTAGATCTTCAAAACCAGACTATAGGGAAGTCAACAATTGCTGTCTTAAGAGTCTCTCCTTCCCTTCAAAATAGCTGTCCATATTCTCATGGATATTAAAGTTCAACAAAACAAAACAGGCTAAAATAACACCGTTAATTAGAACAAAGCAAAACAGGGATAAAAGGATTTTTGCCTTCAAAGAGATGGTAGAAGGAAATCCCCCATATTTGCTGTTTTGCCTAGGGTCAACCTCTCAAGGGATGTCCAGATCACTGGCTCTCACTTGCTAATGAGGAGTGGGTTGGAGGATTGGGGGGGGGTGATGTTTGATTCTCAGCCCGTGTGCCAGCAGGCTCACAGCCACTCATGGGGTTTCCAGGTGCTCCAGGTCCCAGCATGGCTCAGGTCCCAGTAAATGCCGGGGGGGGGGGTTCCATCCTGGGCCACTGCAGCCTGCCACACTCACAGCTACTCTTGGGGGGGGGGGCATTGCTTCAAGCTGTTTCTTTCTAATGAATCGACCATTTCACTGCCCAAGTTCTGAAATGGCCAATAGACCATAGAAAGACATCTCTTTAGGCTCCTGCTTGAAACTAACAGCGTCAGAAAGCCTCCGGCCTTGATTCAGGGCCAGCAAAATGCAGTTTTAAGAAAACTGCTACTAGGTATTATATGCCTGCTAGTGAAAGACCAGGAATAGCTGTTGTTTATATAATGATGGAGGGAATTAGCACACTTATACATCTCACTTCAAAGAAATCTCAATATATAGTATACTTTAACAGGACAAATTTTAAGAAGTACCAGTGGATTTATGGCAAGAAACAAGCCTTCCTTCCACCCTTGTTTCTCAGCCACTCTGCTCCACTTAAGTATTTGTCTAGAACTATTTGATGCATTAAGAATTGTAGGTTTTTTTCTTAACAGGAAAGCTTAGCATACTGTATACCAATTCTGTGTTTTCGAGGGGCCTGTTTCTAGCAATATCTGTAGAGACACTTTATTTTTAAAGAAGAGGTCCCCTAAGTTCTCCATGCTACAGTAAATACATTTTTCTGATTTATTTTATTTGTCTATTTTGGTACCAGAAATCAAACTTGTGGCATAGGGCTTGCCAGGCAGGCACTGTGCTGCTGAGCTACATCCCCAAACCTATCTGATATATTTTAAGGGAGCCTTGGCTGGGTATAAAATTAGGAGACATGATTTTCTTTTATCAGTATCTGGAACATAGTGCTCTTTGGTCTTCTATATCCATTTTGCTCTTGAGTAATGAAGAAAAAAAGTAATTAAAAAATTAGGAGACATTATTTTCTTTTATCAGTATCTAGACCATAGTGCTCTTTGGTCTGAGTTTTTCTTTTCTGTAAGCAATTTTTTGTTTTTGCCTAAATACCCACATAATTGTCTCTTTAGTCTTAAAATTCCATAAATGACATCAGCCTACAAATCCAAGATATTGTTTATTTTGAAAAGTTTTATCCAATCATACATAACATTGACTTTGTGTTTATACTTTTTGCTTTATATACCTTTTCAGTGAAAACATTTGGATATTCTTTGTTTCCCCTTTCTCCTTCTTCCATTTCTGTTGTCTTCACTGTAACTTGCTTTTATATTATTAGTCTTATTTTGTTGTATATAATTCCTCCATATCCTGGTATTTCTTTTTAGTCACATTCTATTTTGGTTGTTTCTTAATGTGGCTTTTATCTCTATAATGTTATTTTTTTCTTCATTTTTTTCCTGAGTTCTACCAGCTTGCCTTTCATTTCCTTCTGTTGTTGTGTAATGTCTTCTTTGAACCTTTGTTTTTCTTCTTTGAGCTTTTTTTTTTTTTAAAAAGAGGGGTCACGTTTCCTATTATGCCTTTGAAACTTTGCAGAATTATTTATCTGAACTCTTCCTGTGTTTCTTTGAGTTCTGTGTTATATACTCTTAATGTACTTTTTTCCCTTTATAATATTTTTCTCCCAAATTATATGTGAAGATACACTGTTTGTTATTTTCTGATTGTCATTTATGTTGTACTAGGAAAGGCTGTGCTAAGCATGGGCTAGCTGCAGCTTTTCTTTGGGCTTGTTAGGTTTGTTATCTCTCGCAAATCTACTTCCTTTGCTGTGGGGCTTATTTCTCTCATCAGTTGTTGGCACTGAAGAGTTAAGGTGGTGGTTATTTAAGCAAGGTTTATACTAATGAAGTGCATCTCCACTCTACATCCCTAATTTGGTTACTCTTACCTAGAATTAGGTGTGAACAATGTATATGGTACAGTAATAGAAATTCTTTACTTCAGTCTGCCCCCAGTTTTCCCTTGTATTAAACTGTGATTCAAAAAAATAGTCTCTACTTCCCATATGACTTATCCTTACAATTAGAGTTCACCCATAATAGCATCAATAGGATCATTACATCTGTTGGTCAGAATTACGTACCTTAGAGAAAGCCACTTAGTGCTGGAGCCCTGAGAAGGCTTTGAGCACATTTCTTCCCCTCACCATATAGTTTCTGATTTGGTATCCTTGCTAGGGTGATATTACTAATTTGTCCTTATCATGTATCAGTCATACAGGGAAATACAATTTATTTTTTGATCATAATGTGTATTCTTTCTCCTAAGTTCTCTACCCTGAGTTAAGTGGAGAGGAAAACTAGGTCTTAACTTTAAAGAGTATCTTTTTTAAAAAAATTAGAAGTGAGGAACTTGTTAGGCATCATTTATCTTCATTCTGTACAAACTTATTTTGAAACTTGAGCTATTGTTAGTATCCTTTTACTAGGTTGTCTACTATAAACATTTTTTAAAATTTTTTTTTCTTTTTTCTTTTTATCGTTACCGGGGATTGAACTCATGACTGCATGCTTACAAGGCAGGCGCTTATGCCGCTGAGCTAAATCCCCAGCACCTTAAACTTAAAGTGATGTTTTCTTGCTTCTCATACTAAGGAAATATTTTGTGAGTGAAAATGAGAAAACTTCTAGAATGTTATTTTAAATTAACTTTTTATTTTTTTCCTTTCAGTTACTTTTGTATTATTTATATGGAAATTAAATTTTTTTCTTTTAAGTATATCTCTGCTTTGAAAGCCAGTGATTTTATTTTTATTTTTGCATCTTGAATGATGATTTGATGGAATTAACCATTTATGATTGACAATATATGATGGAACTTTGTATAGTTTGAGTGGTCTTTTGGATATTCAACACCAGAAATTTTGTCTAATTAAATCTTCTGTTTAATTAAGATAACAATGCATAGTCCTTCATTAAAGTTAACACAGAAAAAGTTCTTCCTTGGTCCTTGGAGAGGATATTATATGCAAGGCTTGTTGTGTGGGTTGCAAAATGTCACTGGAATTTATATGCATTACTTGTCTAATTGCAGTAAATGTAGCATGTCCAGATAGGTTTTGAGTTAGAAGGCTGTTTGTTACTTATTGCAAATGCTCGAAGCCTCAATATCTGAAGGCAGCTGTTCGCAGGTCCTTCACCTCTCCCCAGAGATGGCTGGGAAGACTCTGTTGTTGGACCCTGTCTTTCATGGCGGGAGCAGTAAACATGACAGGTTGTTTGGGAGCCATCTGTTTAAAGTGGCTGCTGCTTTGTATGCAGCAATGAACTTGAGATCAGTTTTCTGTCTTTCTTCATGGTAACAGTCTTATTTGGTGTCACAACAGGTGGAAGTTGATGGGTCGAAACTAAATGTGACCAGTACATGGAACCTGGCTTTGCCCTTACTGTCTGTCAACATTGATGGCATTCAGAGGACTGTGCAGGTAAATGTTCTGATTATTTTCTTAGAAGGCTTCCTCCAGATTAAAATCCTTATCAACACTTATATCATTCGTTCTTACAGACATAGTGAGGAAAAGCTGTATTTTATTCATCTTTTACCTTTTATAATTGAAAACATTTTTCTTATGGGGATCTTAAATTACATCTTAATGTGAGTACTTAATATTTTCAGGCAATCTCAGAAAGTTATTGTATTATATTTTGTTATAAATAATGAGTTCTGCCACTATTTTTTAAAAATTTTAGGTCAGTAGTATTTGTTGTTTTGGGCTCTAAATGTGATTTACGTGCACTGTTACCTTTTATTATCTATGCAATTGGAGTTGTGTAGTGTTAGATTAGTACAAACGTGAACTAGACAGGTTGACTTTCCCTTGGACATCATTTTATAAGAACAAATAATCTTAATTTGTAACCTTTATTTTTCTCCTAGTATAAAATGAGTTACATTGATGAGAGGCCTTAAACCTAGAGGTGATAGAATATTCTTTGTAACCTATGACCTCTGTTTTTAAACAGAAAGCAATGAAAAGAGATTTTTCCAATATTTCTTCATTTTACCTCACACTGAGGTTTAGGGTTTGGGGCACGGGAAGAGGCTAAAACAACAGCAGCAAAAAACCCTCCAAAATAAACATGGAAAATGTGACTCTCACATGTAAATAAAAGTAGTAAATTCCCTGTATTATTACATGCTTGTTCTTTAACTTGATTTTTCACAGAAAGTTAATTTTTAGAACCTAGCAAATTAAGAGAATCACAAATGAAGACTAATCTACACCTGACTCATATGTGCCTCTAGTAGAGACTTTGGGGAAGATGGGGAGGGGATTCTGGCTGTAGTTCTTTTTCATTTTTAAAAAATTTTATTAGTATATGTTTACAGTTTATAGTCATCTTGTGGATTGGATACATGTGCATACTGCAGCTTGGTTTTTTTGTGTTGTTTTTAAAATCCCCTTCCTCTTCCCTCCTCTTCAGTCATTCTTTTGGACATGGCAGATGGCTGGCTGACTTCTGGGACACTTCTATGAATTTAAGAGAATTCTTTACCTTGCAGAATTCCTATGTATGCTGTGACTTTCCAGTTGCTTCCTGAGTTCCCACTATGTCCACTCCAGATGTTCTTAAACAGAATTCCTCACAGTGGCGCAGTCTGCCCCTCCTCTGTTTAAGCCATATCTGGGCTACAAGAAATAGTTATGAGTCCTTGCCCTCCCACCCAAAGTACAGTTTGAGAGTGCAGGCTTCACTTCTTCCTCTGTCACCAAGAACAGGATCTAGTGGCATCTTATTTTAGATTGTGTAGCTACTTTTCATTTTATTGCTGAATCAATGTGAGTACATGAAAAGTAGCACTTAATTTCTTTAGATGATGAGATAGTTGGGTAAGCAGCATGCTTTTCCTTTAGGAATTGTCTTCATTGTCCCTCTTATTTTCCTGGTTTTCAGAGGTAATCCTCGTGACCTTAATATTACTCATTCTGTTCTTTAAACAGCAGTTGTATTTTTTTGTGTATAATCATTTGAATAGTGAATTTCATAGCTTGCTAGTTTCCTTTAATTGGTATAAACTAACTACTTTTATTTCACTCTAAATCCCTGTTGTTTTGTTGTAAGTCCTTAGCACTTATAAAAGTTCAGTTACTGGGTGGGTAGGTAAATGAATGAATGGGTAGTTAGCTTACATTTTGTAATTTCAGAAATCTGTGTTGTCTGTATTTTCAGTTTAAGATGTAGATTTTTCTTTCTTCTAAGCTTGCATCAAATAAAGCCATGCTCCTAAAATAGCCATCTTAACTGGATTATTAAACTGTGTTTAGTTCTGGCCTCCAACATTGGCACCGTGCTCATCATGTTGGTTAGAAGAGTGCTGTGGGCTCAGAGTCTCCATAGTTTCTGTGAGAGCAAAGACAAGCAGGAGGGCACTGAGGAACTGCCCACAGATGTTCTTTGATTATCCAGCACCATTTGGCTCCATTTCCTGCAGGCAGCACCTGAGCTGTTTTAGGCCAACTGTGCCACCTACTGAGAGGTGCACACTGACGGTCCGCAGCTACAGAAGAGGGTGTATGCCAGCTGCCCTGTTTCCTCCTTCTTGGGAATTACACACATGTTTCTACTCCCTCTCACCTGGCGTCACTCATTATTCTTTGCACAGTGAAGTCAGCTTCACAGTCTTTACTATATCCACTTTCTCTTTAAGTTGCCTGTTCTCTTCTGACTTAAAATCTTATGCATGGAAAAACCTCTGTTGTTGCTGATAACCACCAGTGTGGAGCCAGTGATATTTCTGAAAGAGGATGTGTGTATAGGGCAGGGTCATAGAATTTTTTTTTTTAAAAAAGAAATAGCATTTATTTAGAAAGCAAAGAATTGCAGTGCTAAAGCACTGAATCAGGGATCCTGAGTAGTAGAAGTTCATGCGGCAAATGCCAGAGAGGATTTTGAAGGGGCATTCATCCCTACAATAATTGTTTTTCGAGGCAGCTCATTGCCTGGTGGAAATCCTGAACTACAAGCCCAGTCTGACTGGTAATGAGGACTGTCCAGGCAAAAGACCCTGGCAACCAGGGGACACTGACATCGATTGTTCACCTGGCTCCTGGAAATTCTATGCTTTAACCCATCCTCTCGCAGCTTCCTGACTCCGCCCTAAAAACCTTAGCCTTAGTGGCTTCATTTTCTTTTTTTCTTTTTTTTCCTTTTTAAAAAAAATTTATTTAAGGAGAAAAAGGAAAAAAAAAGCAGAAAAAGGGTACAAGTTATACAGAATTTCAGAAAAAAAAATAAAACAGTAGGAAATCACTAGTCGATGGATTACATATTGTCATCTTAGAAATATTTGTTCAAGTTACAAAATTAAAGCTTATATAGTGGACATTCAAACAGTGAGACCAAACAGTTCTGTTCAATGATCCAACAAAACTCAGTAATATCATTGTCTATCTTATACATTTAAATATACATGCAGTTATATCATTTAGAGCACTTTCTTTTCCTCTCTTTTGTACAATGACTATTACACATTTTGGGTTTTATTGCTCCCACAATTCTTATTACTTTTTTTAGAAGAGAGTAAAACCAAATGTGACATAACAGAACAGAGTTGGTCAAATCAAAAGGGTGGACATAATAGATAATGTAAAAACATAATGCAAAGTGATCAACAATGGTTACCATAATGCCTCCCGCTATCTCTAATAGAGTTGCCTATATCATCAGTTATAATAAAATTGAACAAAACAGTAAAGAATGAAACCAACAAAACCAAAACATTGGAGACATTACAGGTCTTCAAAAGTAGATAATAGTCAACCAGAATGGGCGTCATAATGAATCCCACTATCTTCACAGCTGTTGCCTAAACTTTCGAACCTGGTACTATCAAGCAAAACAGAATAGAGGAACATCAGTCAAAACAAGATGGTGAGAGCAATACAGGGCTTCAAATCAGGTTAATAGAAAATCAAAGTGGGTTACTATAATATATCCTGCTATTTATTTATTTTTCCCTTAGTTAAAAGGATAAAAATAAAAAAGTAAATAATAAAATGGAGATTGAGATAAAAGAGGGCATAACAACAAAACAGTGCAGGTCAAAACATAACCATTTAAGCAAAATAGTGTTTCACCACAAGATAATCCCGACATAAAAGTAGTTATCATATTGTCTCTTTCCTTGAAATCTTTGAGTATAACTTTGTATACTGTAGCATCAAATATATCAAAACAATGTAAAACCATTCAAGAGAATGACAGTATTACAGGGTATTTAGAATCAACTAACAGAAAATGAACAATGGCTTCTGTATAATCTTCTTGTCTATAAAAGTTTTTGTTTATACTACCACATATAATAAGATCCAATAAGTTACAACATGTTAAGACCAATGGAGACAGAAGAACAAAAGCTTGATGAGACTTCAAAACAAGATGATACTAAATCAGCATTACCTATTATGATGTCGTTTTCTCCAAAATAGCTGTTCCTATCATCCAATCTTCTCTACCTCATTTCTGTTGAGCTCTTTTTCTGTCATTAGTTGTCAGTTTGTCTTCTTCATTTTGTTTTCTGCTCCATTCATTGTGGCCTCTCTGCCACTATTTCTGGACTCTTCGTATTTTTCTTTTTTAGAATATCCTGCAGTATTCTCTGTAGAGTTGAATTGGTGGTTGCATATTTCCCTAGTTCCTCTTTATCCTGGAAGCACCTTGTTTTTCCATCAATTTCCAGGGATAATTATGCAGGATATATCAATATTGGCTGGAGGTTATTATCTTTCAAAGCTTGAATTATTTCCCCCCACGCTCTTCATGATTTGATGGTTTGTGCCGAGAAGTCTGCTGTAATTCTGATGGGTGTTCCCTTGTAAGTGATCTGTTTCTTGTCTCTGATGGCTTTTAATATTCTGTTCTTATATTGGATTTCTGGAATTTTGATTATTATATGCCTGGGTGTAGCTCTGTTTGGGTTGTAGGTGGCTGGGGTCCTGAATGCTTCATACATCTGAGTATCTTTACCTTTTGCTAAATTAGGAAAATTCTCCTGGATTATTTCTGTGAGTAGCTTTTGTAGTTCATTTGTTTGTGTCCCTACCTCTTCTTTTATGTTCTTAATTCTTAAGTTATAGATCCTCTTATCATCTTCTAGTCTTTGTATTGTTGCTGTTTGTTTCTTTGTTATTTTTAAGAAGTTTTTCATTTCATGCTCCCATATTACAAACCTGGCCTCCAGTTCAGATAAGCTATCCTTAGTTTCTTTCAAGCTGTTATGCCAGCTTTCGATAGAGTATTTAGTTTCCTGGTAATCTCTTTGAACCTGCTTCACGTATTCTATGCTTTCTCTATTTTCTCCATCAAACAATTCTCCCCTCTTTTTCTGTTCTTCCATTCCACCATTTGTTTTTTCTTGGGTGGTGCTTAACATTTCTCTAACTATTCTGCTTATGTCTAGCTTCAGGTCATTAATAACTTCATT